ACGCAAAGTAGGTGATTGCACCCCAAACCAGCAGTGCTGCCACACTGCAAAATGGCTCCTTTGCCCCCCCCAAAATGGACTTCACTGCAACAATGCAACATGGGCGACTGTGCCTCAAATTGCCTGTGCTGCAATAATGCCAAGAAAACCCCCAGGGGATGGCATCCAAAATTTGCTTCATTGCAATGAGGCACCCCCATCGCAAGCTGCTGCCACAATGCAAAATGGGCATTTGTGTCCCAAATCCACCATGCTGTGGCGATGCAAAATGTCCGATTCTGCCCCAAAATGGTGGCATGAATGAATACTCACTGTTGGTGAGCATCTGCAGGTCCTCCACAGACGGTGGCGACCCTTTCTTCTCATAGGGAATCACCGTGTTCAGGTACTGCATTAAAAAAACCACCCCAAAACCCACCCAGATGGCACAAAATTACCTTTTTTTTTGCACTGCCTTGCCACAAATCACCCCAAATTGGTGCAAAAGCAGAACATGTCTGTGATTTTCCTGTGACGGTATTTTGGGGGGTATCAAATTTGCATGCTGCAAAACCCACCCAAACACGAACCTTTCCTTAAGGAGGTTTTTTGGGGGGTAAAAAATGGTGATTTTTGCAAGATGAATTAGCAGGGTGTAGGGGACAGGGTGGAGTTGTAAAATAAAAAAAAAAAATTAAAATGGGTTTGGGAAATGCAGGAGAATGGGATTTGTGCAGGATGGAGGGTTAAAAAGGGATGGATTTGGGCAATTCTGGGGGGAAAAAGGGCACCTGCTTCTCGCTGGTAGCGGGGCTGAAGGTCTGGCGCAGGCCAGAGTGCAGGATGCTGGAGATACCCTCCATGCTGAAGCGCTGGGGACACACATGTAACCCTGTCACCTCCCAGGACCACGGACATCAGCCGTGCCATCTCCCATGGCATGTCCCCCCTGGCTCCCCGAGCCCCATCCACATCCCCCACACTCCCATCCTACGTGCCCCTTTCCCTCTGCCTCCCATCCGCCCCAACTCATGTCCCCCATCCTCCTGTCCTTATGTCCCATGTCCCCCTGTCTCCTTGCCCTCTCCCATCCCTGCATCACCCTGTCGCGTGTCCCCCCCCCATCACGTGTCCCCTCATCTTCCCACCCCATATTCCCCTGTCCAACGTCTCTCTGCCCCTCCCTGTCACCCATCCACTCTCCCCACAACTCCATCCCATGTCCCCCCATCTTGTCCCCCACCTCAAATCCCCCTGCTCCATGTCCCCACATCCCCTGTCCTATGTACTCCCCACCTCATGCTCCTGCTTTGTGTCCCCGTCCCATGCACCCCTGCCCCATCCCATCACCCATCTCCATGTCCCACATCCATCTGCTGTCCCCTAATACCCACCCCCTGTCCTCGCATACTCCAATCCCATGTCGTTATGTCTCTCTTTCCCCTGCCCTATGTGCCTGTCCCAAGCCCCTCTGCTTCATCCCATCCCCATCCCCTGTTCCCATATCCCCCTGTCCCCATATCCCCCATCCCTCATTCTCCTGCCTCATGTCCTCCTGTCCCATTTCCATCACCCATCCCCTGTCCCACATTCCCTCATTTCTCATCCCCCTACCCCATGTCCACCCATCCCTCATCCCCCTGCCCCATGTCCCTGTCCCATGTCCCTCTGTTGCATCCTATCACCCATCCCCTATCCCACCATCAGCCCACTACCCCCATCCCTCATCCCCCTGCCCTGGGTCCCCACATTCCCCCATGCATCCCGAGTCCCCCCATCCCCTGTCCCTGTGGCCGCGGTGTCTCCCACCTTCCGAGGCATGTGGTTCCCACGCTCGGGACGCCCCCCTTGCAGGCTCAGCCCCCTGTCGCGACGGCGGCGACGGGCGGCCTCCCGCTGCTCCCGCTGCTCCCCCTGCACCGCCAGCAGCGCCCCGATGAACGCTGTCTTCACCTCCTTCTCGAACGCCAGCTCGTCCCGCCGCGCCAGCTGGGCCACCAGCTCCGCCGACAGCGCCCGGCTGGCCGCCTCCGCGCGCCCGGCCACCGCCACCAGCTCCCGCGCCGACAGCTGCCCCAGCCCTGCCGCCCGGGCGTCGCGGTTAGAGACGGGCACGCGCTCACCGGGAGAGGCAGCCGTGCCGCCAGAAATGCGGACGGTGCCATCGTTAAGATTGCGCAGGGCCGTTAGTGGGCTGCCTGGTGCAACCGATGCAACTCCCAGGGCAGCGAGTGCAACGCACAAGTGTGATCAATGAAACGCCTGGTGCGATTAGTGAAATGCACAACGCGATCCAGGGAGTGTCTGGTGCAGTAAGTGCAATGCGCGAAACACCCAGTGCAATTACTGCAATGCCCAGTGCAGTAAGTGAAATGTCTGGTGCAGTAAGTGCAATGCTCAGTGCAATTAGTGAAATACCCAGTGCAATTACTGCAATGCCCATTGTAATTACTGCAATGTCCAGTGCAATAAGTGAAATGTCTGGTGCAGTAAGTGCAATGCCCCGTGCAGCAAGTGCAATGCACAGTGTAATAAATGAAATGCACAATGCAGTAAGTGCTATGCCCAGCGCAGGAAGTACAATTAAGTGCAATAAATGCAATACATAATGCAGTAAATGCAACACCTGGTGAAATTAGTGAAATGCACAGTACAACCATATACCTGGAGCAATAACAGAAATGCCCGTTGCAACCAGTTACACACCCTGCGCATCCTCTGATGTGCATGGTGTGATTAGCTCCAATCCCATGTCGTTCTGTCTCTCTTTCCCCTGCCCTATGTGCCTGTCCCAAGCCCCTCTGCTTCATCCCATCCCCATCCCCTGTTCCCATATCCCCCTGTCCCCATATCCCCCATCCCTCATTCTCCTGCCTCATGTCCTCCTGTCCCATTTCCATCACCCATCCCCTGTCCCACATTCCCTCATTTCTCATCCCCCTACCCCATGTCCACCCATCCCTCATCCCCCTGCCCCATGTCCCTGTCCCATGTCCCTCTGTTGCATCCTATCACCCATCCCCTATCCCACCATCAGCCCACTACCCCCATCCCTCATCCCCCTGCCCTGGGTCCCCACATTCCCCCATGCATCCCGAGTCCCCCCATCCCCTGTCCCTGTGGCCGCGGTGTCTCCCACCTTCCGAGGCATGTGGTTCCCACGCTCGGGACGCCCCCCTTGCAGGCTCAGCCCCCTGTCGCGACGGCGGCGACGGGCGGCCTCCCGCTGCTCCCGCTGCTCCCCCTGCACCGCCAGCAGCGCCCCGATGAACGCTGTCTTCACCTCCTTCTCGAACGCCAGCTCGTCCCGCCGCGCCAGCTGGGCCACCAGCTCCGCCGACAGCGCCCGGCTGGCCGCCTCCGCGCGCCCGGCCACCGCCACCAGCTCCCGCGCCGACAGCTGCCCCAGCCCTGCCGCCCGGGCGTCGCGGTTAGAGACGGGCACGCGCTCACCGGGAGAGGCAGCCGTGCCGCCAGAAATGCGGACGGTGCCATCGTTAAGATTGCGCAGGGCCGTTAGTGGGCTGCCTGGTGCAACCGATGCAACTCCCAGGGCAGCGAGTGCAACGCACAAGTGTGATCAATGAAACGCCTGGTGCGATTAGTGAAATGCACAACGCGATCCAGGGAGTGTCTGGTGCAGTAAGTGCAATGCGCGAAACACCCAGTGCAATTACTGCAATGCCCAGTGCAGTAAGTGAAATGTCTGGTGCAGTAAGTGCAATGCTCAGTGCAATTAGTGAAATACCCAGTGCAATTACTGCAATGCCCATTGTAATTACTGCAATGTCCAGTGCAATAAGTGAAATGTCTGGTGCAGTAAGTGCAATGCCCCGTGCAGCAAGTGCAATGCACAGTGTAATAAATGAAATGCACAATGCAGTAAGTGCTATGCCCAGCGCAGGAAGTACAATTAAGTGCAATAAATGCAATACATAATGCAGTAAATGCAACACCTGGTGAAATTAGTGAAATGCACAGTACAACCATATACCTGGAGCAATAACAGAAATGCCCGTTGCAACCAGTTACACACCCTGCGCATCCTCTGATGTGCATGGTGTGATTAGGGAAAGGCACCCTAAAGTTTGCAAAAGGCTTCGTGCAGTTGGTGAGATGCACACTGCAGTTATTGAGACGCGTGGGGTGATTAGTGGGCTCCCTAGTGCAACTGGTGAAATGACTGGTGCAACACATGCCATGCCCAGTGCAGTAAGCGACGTGCACAGTGCAAGAAGTGCAATGGCTGCACTGGTGTGGTCTGCACTGCAATGGTGCAGCTACTGCAATGCAGGGTGCAATTAGTGAAAGGCACAATGCAATAAATTAAATGCCCAGTGCAGTATGTGCAATGTCTGTCTGGTGCAATAAATGAAATGCCCGCTGCAATTAGTGAAATGTGCACTGAAGTTTGCAAAATGTCTTGTGCCACCCAGCGAGACGTACAGCCTAATTATGAAGGTGCTGGGGGGCAATTAGTGAAACATCACCACTAGTGAGAAGTCTCGTGCACGGCACATTTAGTGGCATGCACAGTGCATGCAGACACATGCACCACACACTTCAATCAAGCATGCTGCACGGTGCTCCCGGGGAAAAGCACAATGCAATTAGTGAAATGGTGATATTAGAGACAGAGGTGCTGCCATATTTTCCACAGATGTAGGAAAATGCACAGAGCAATCAGGAAAACACCTGGCACACAGCAACATTGAGTGGCCACTGGTGCATTCGGGGAATGAAATGCCCAGCAAAATGCAGAGTGCAGTCCAGAACATGCCCTGTGTGTGGCGCAGGGAGGTGCCTGGCACGTTCAGTCACAGGCACGGTGCTGCCACATCAGCTGCATTTCCCTGAAATGCAGGATGCAAACAGCAAAAACACAAAGTACACTGGGCGTTTCCGCACAGTGATGGGCAAGCGTTAGGAAAAAGCTCAGCGTGCGCACAGGAGGGATGGTGCACAACACCATCAGTGCAAGGCGTGCAGCACAAGGCATTTTGCAAAACGCGTGGAGTGCTTGGTGAAATCTTGGGGGCATTTGAAGCAATAGGAACAGCAAAATCCACCCGGGCTTCATTTTTGCCAAGAGCCCTCTCCTGGCCAAACAGTGTGCAAACACTGGTGCAAGCCAGCCCTGAAGCCTGGAGAGATTCAATTGTCTAATTTGGCTGGAATTGCCCCCCAAAGGCGGCTGGCCTGGGTTTTGCTGGCTGTACCTTCATGGGAGCAGTTGTTGTTGAAGGCAGGGGAGAAAGCACGCAGCTCACGGAGAAGGATGGGCTCCATGCCCCCGCCACCGCCTTCAGTATCAGCCTCAGTTTCCTCCTCCTCCTCTTCCTCATCCTCATCACCCTCAGGGTCAGCCTCGGGGTCAGGCGAACTCTGCATCAGCTCCTCCAGCTCCTCGATGACCTGTGGGGCACCAGTGTCCTCCATCTGCACCTGCATCCTATCTCCATCTACACCCTGCATCTGTGTCCTGCAGCCACATCTGCAACCTGATCCCTTCATCTCCATCTTCATTTGCATCCATCTGCACCCTGTGCCCTCCATTTGCATCCTGCATCTGCACCCAAATCTCACACCCCCATGGGCAATCACACCTTGGACCTGCATCTATATGCACATCTGCATCCCGCACCCATGGCTGCATCCTGCATCCTCTATCTGCTCCCTGGATCCTGTACTTGCACCTGGACCCTCTAGCCAGCAGCCACAGCCTCACCCTACATCTGCATCTCCATCCCTGCTCCCTTCCCCACATCTTTACCCTGCATCTGGCACCAGCATCCTACACCTTCATCCCATCTCCACCCCCCAATGCTTTCATCCCTCAGTCCATGCCACCCATTTACATCAAGCACTGGCACCCCACATCTGCACCCAAATACCACACTGGCACCCACAACCTGCACCTCCATCTACATCCAAATCTGCATCCCATGCCCCTCATCCCACAGCCCAAAACAATGGGCTTTGGCCTATTTTTGTGCTTTCACCACGTGGCCATAGGTCTGGGGTAGGCGGAGGCCATTCTAGGGATGCCAAAGCCTGGCTTTTGGGGGACACGCAGGTGTTCAGGTGCCCATGAGGGCCAGGGGTACCTGCTCAGCTGTCAGCAGTGGCTCCTCGTTGATGCCCGAGTCTTGCTCGCTCTTCTCAGTGAGCTCCTCCTCCTCCTCCTTTTCGCAGAGCTGCAGGAGACACAGGCTGGGCAGCCTTGATGGCACCACAGGCACATCCCAGCACAGGCATGGCCCCAGCACGGACACAGAAATGGCTCTGGCCCTGGCACAGGGAGAGCCACCAGGGAACCACAGCTTGGGGGGGACACGCTGCATGGAAGGGGGGTTGGCATGGTGAGATATCAGGTGGAGACATTGGGTTGGGACGCTGGACAAGGAGACATTGGGTGTGGAGATGCTGGACAGGGACACTGGATAGAAACGGATAGAGATGTTCAGACAGGGAAATGTTGCATGGGATTGTGGATAGGGGACACTGGATGGGGATGCTGGATAGACACTTTGAAGAGGGAGATGATGAACAGGGAAGCACTGGATGGGGAGGTATTGCAAGGAGACAGATGCTGGATGTGGAGACACTGGATAGAGAGTTGTTGGATGGAGATACTGGACTGGGAAATTGAACAGGGAGAAATACAGGTCTGCTGAATGGAGAGAGGTTGGAATTAATATATTGGATGGTGATATCGGATAGGAATGTGTTGGAGATGCTGGATGGAGATGATGGGGATGGTGAAGCTGAATGGGGAAGAGGTCAGATGGAGACATTAAATGGGGAGACGTCAGAGGGGAGCAAGGATGGGAAGGTGATGGATGAAGATGTTGGATGGGGATTCGTCTTCCTTTTTACCACCTTTCACATTTTATTTCACCTTTTTAGCAGAAAATAACTGAAGAAATTCACCTTCTCTTCCCTCCTTAGGAACAGGCTGTGCAACATCCAAACTGGTTAAATTCAGTGCATTATGGGGCGTTACTGCAGCCCTCACACCATCCAACTGCAGTTATTCACAGCATGAACTCACTACAACAAAGACTCCCAAAAATACACCACCTTCTCTGTGGCTTGGGGGGAACTGGCAAAGATCAGATTGCTAAACTAAACACTTAATCTTGCCTGTTTCAGTGTAATTTCACACCAGAATGTGGACACCCACTGCACTGGTGCTGTGTCACTCCAAAAATACCATTTTTGGGGTAGTTTGCAGTGCCCTGATGGTCACTGTGCTGACTGACAGCTGTCAAGCATCACCAGGGTGTCATGCAGGGGCAAGGGGGCATTTGGGGAGCCAAGGAGGGGGCACAGCCGTACCTGGGGGTCGGTGCTGTCGGGGGCCTCAGCCCCGGGGAGCAGCCAGGGCCGGGGGGAGCCCCGGGGGGCGAAGCCATCCGTGAGAGCATCCCAGACCCTGCAGGGAGGTGGGTAGTGAGCGGCGATCCCAAAATGTTGCCTCCCAGAAAGCCATCCCAAAAATGGCATGCCAAAACGCCTCAAACCCCCAAAATGCAGCTCCAGAAACACCCCTGACATTGTCTGGAAAAATCCCACAACGCCACTGAGATGCCTGAAATATCCCAAAACACCCTAAACACTGCCCTAGAAGATCCCAAATGATGCCCTAGATGACCCCAAAGCTTCTGAAAATATCATCATGCAATACTGCCCTGAAACACTCCAAAGTACCCCAAAATGGTGCCCCAACAGTTGAGATGGCCCCAAATGTCATTTTGAAACATTGCCATCTAAATAGTCCCCAAAAGGCTGCTGCAATGTCCCAAAATGTCCCCAGCTGCCCAAAAAGACCACCCTGAAATGCTTCATGATACCATCCCAAAACATCACCATGATGCCCCAAAATGCCCCAAGATGTCCCAAAATGCTGCCAAAGCCCCAGAAACACCCCAAAATGACATCCTAAAATATTGTCCCAAAGCCCCAAGACCCTCCGAAAGGTCACAAAACAACTCAAAATGCTGCCACAGAATGTGCTGAAATGCCTAAAATGCAGTCACAGAACCTCAAAACACCACCCTGAAACACTCCACATTCCCACCTTGAAGCAGTCCTGAAACACCCAAAACTGCCCTGAAATACCCCAAAATACAGCCCTGGAACACCCCCAAATGAAATACTCCCCAAAACACCCAGAAACACCCCCAAAATCAGCTGCAATACTCTGAAATCCCCCAACCCTCCCTGAAATGCTGCCCCAAAACACAGCCTTGAAACATCTGGAAACAAGCCAAAAATTGTCCCAAAACTGCTTGAAACCACCCCAAACCATGGCCCTGATACCCTAAAATGCACCAAAACACCTCAACCCCCAGTCCCCTGTCCTCTGCACCATTATTTGGTGCAGAGATTCTCCCCCACTGGTCTGGACCAATTTTGTCCAATTTCACCATAAAAAAATGGTCCTTGGGGGAAGGTATAGGAGGAAAAAAATGGGGAAAACAGGGTATAAGAAAGGGAAAAAAGAGAGAAAAGGGTAAAAAAAGAGGGGAAGGGGGAAAACGGGAAAAAAGGAGAAAAGGGGGCTAAAGAAAGAGAAGATGTGGAAAATAGAACAAAATAAGAGTAAAAGGGAAATGGAAGGAAAAATGAGAAAGGGGTCAAAGAAGGAAAAGCAGGAAAGGAGGAAAGAAAAGGAAAAGGGGGAGAAATAGGGAAAGGAGGAACAGGGGAAAAAGAAGGAAAAAAGAAAAAATGGGGGAAAACCCAAAATGGGCAAAAAGAAAAAATGTACCAAAAAAAAGGGGGGGAAATAAAGGGAAAAGGTGGAAAAGTGGAGAAAAGGGGAGAAAAAGAAAAAATTGCGGAAAATAGGAGAAAAGAGCTAAAAGGTAGCAACATCGGGAAAAAGGCCAAAAATGGGGAAAAAGGCACAAAAAGATTAGAAAATTTCTCCCCAATTAAGGCAAACCCTCACATTTTCCACCACAAATGGCATTTTCACTCTGACACGGTGCCACGTCCACGCACATCCCGATTCCCCCTAAATCACCCCAAAACTTCCTGCGTCTCCCCAGCCCCCAAACTGCTGATCTTAGGGGGATCTCATCCCCCTCCTCACCTGATCCCCCCTAAATCACATATTTCACAAATAAATGCACAAAAGTGCCCATGTCAAAAATCCCATATATTCCCATTTTTTAACAAAAATGCAGCAAATAAGGAAAAAAATTATTATCCCCCCACTTTTCCAATCTTAAAGAGTCAGCACCCTACAGGGTCAGGCAAGCAGCAGCAGATTTCTGGGTTAATTATGGCAAGAATTGGTTAATAATTAGGGAAATACAGCACCTTTAAGGGCCATCCCATCCCCCGCCTGCGCACACAGGGCTCATTCAAGAGGGAGAAAAAAAAAAAACATAAAAGCCCTGTTTTGCTCAAAGTGATCCAAAAAGACACAATAAGCGGCACAAAGTGGCGCTGCGAGCTGGCTGCCGGCGACAGCGCGGCGCTCCCGGCACCAGGCCAAAATGCATTTTTCTCTGAAAACCCATTGGTTTGGCCAATTACAAAAAGCAATTCGACCTTGGTGAAAGAAAAAAACATCAACCCAAAATAAACAGATTTGGGCGCTTTAAGGTTGAAAACAACCATTTTGCATGGTGAAAAAGCAGTGTTAAGAATTGCAGCCTAAGGAATAATCCCAATTAAACACACACACAAAAAAATCCATTAGAAAGGTGTTAATGTAGAAATCGCTGAAAAGAATACGCTAGTTTGGCCAAAAAATGGCATTTTGCAGGAAAAAAAAGGTTTTTCATGGAAATTGAGATTTTAATGCAAATGTCACTATATTGTGGCAGGGATGGGGGATTTGCCCAAATGCTACTCCAAGGATCCTACACAGCTACTCCAAGGTGCTGCATGATCAGCCCACAGCGCAGGGAGCCAATTTGCAGGTGGTGGAGGATCTTGCAAGCATGCGAGGAGGTACAACAGGCCCTGGAGCGGTGTTACTCATCAGATACTCCACCACTGCTCTGACGTGCTATGCAACCATGCTGCGATGAGGTAGGCTCCCCAGTACGCCCTGGGATGGGCTGTAGGGCATGACCATGCAAGAAAGCATGCGGGCCCATGGGTGGTCTACTCGATCCTACACAGCTACTCCAAGGATGCTACAAAGCTACTTCAAGGATCCCACACGGCTACTCCAACGATCCTCTACAGCTACTCCACACAGCTGCATGATGCAATGTGGGGGACTTGGTTGCACGTGGAGTGTACCTTGCTAGTCTGCAAGGCGGCATGCAGGCTCCGAGGGAGCCCTTACTCATAGGATACTCCACTGCTATTCCTGACACTGTGCATGACCCCACCACAGGGCAGAGAGCTGGTCAGGGAAGTCTCCCAAGGCCGCAAGGATGCCCCGCAGGCTGTGAGAGGGCTTTCTTACAGTAGGTTCCTACACCACTACACTGCGCTGCATGACCACGCTGCAATGCAGGGAGCCAGTTTGCACTGGGGGGGGGGGGGGGGG